TGTGCTAAGTTCTGACAGTTTCTACAAGATAAGGGTTTATTGCCAACGTATGCATGTTAAAAACACTGGAAAATGTTTTTATGTAAGCCCCGGGAAAATGCATGAAACAGAGAGTTAGCTACGTTTTCCCTTTCATTTTCCCCCCATTTAAGTCATCACGGCTGCGCTTATGCATGGATTTGGATTTTAATTTAAAATTTCCGAAGTGTTTTAAAGTTGTGGATTTGTTGCTCTCGTGGGTATGCGTTTATATGCGCGAGTGGGGGGGTGTCTTTGCTTAGCTTTCCCAGACTCGATCCATTGAGACTACAACAGCCATGATCCCCAACCAGACCAGATGTTGGAGGGGATACAGATTGTTTAGGAATTGAATAAATGGGAACTGAATAATAAATACATTGCGTTAGACTGCTAGGTCTAACGCAGGAAAGTTTTGGGATCTGACAACCAAAATCGCTGGCGTTTGCAAGGGGTTTTTGTAACGGTTATTTCAGGCTCAGAGGTAGACTGACTCATTTTATGTCTCTTGAAATTGTTGTGTAAGAGCCGTGGGTCTTGTAAAGAATTATGTAAAGATGGCCAACTTCATAGAACTTTCAGTTTTACAGTATTGTACATGTATTGTACATGTACATGCTTGTTGAGAAAAAGCCCTGCTTGGACAAACCTATAAAACAAGATTTTTATACTTTTTGGAATAAATGTTTTGGAAGAAACTGCTTTCTATAGAATTTGTGTGCAAAACATCTTGACATGTGATTGATCACTAAGAAATCAATGTTTACGGTGTCTTGTGCAATATATCACTTGTTACTTCTGCTCCTAAAAACTCAACAGCTATGGTGGACAAAGTCAGATTTCTGTTTATTATTTTAAAATAGTTTAGGTTGCTCATTAATATAATTCATATGGAGTATAGAAAATAATAAAATATTAAATATCAGATGCAGGTTTGAGGAAAGAAAATATTCAATAGACATCAACAAGATGGCACAGAGAGATCTTCAAATATAGTAGAATTTCATAAGTTTGTTAAGTTCTTCAAATCTATTAATTGGAGACAAGGACTCAAAAGTATATTTAGGATTTAAAAATTTAGGGTTTAGGAATTTGTCACTACCAAAACTGAAGGCATGCTATTCAGAATCCCAATCCTGGTTACTTCCAATTTCTGTAATATAAGTTATTGCTGCTTTTATTAAATTTTAGGAATCCTTGCCTGTCTAGTATACATTATTCCAAATCCTTGCCATATTTCCTACTTTGCCCAACAAGATGTTGTGGTTTTGGGTCCAAAGTTTCATTGTGGTGAATATGCCTCTGAAGAAAAATATTCACTAAAAATTGTGGATGTTTCAAATCCACAACCTTCACATTATTGGTAAAGCTCCCTTAATTCACATCAAATAACACACCTTCTTTAGAAGACCAGTCTCTATCAAATAATCAAATATCATGCATGGTCTCCAAAATTGATTTTTTAATTTCTCACAAACATTTCATGACATTGCCAATATATTATGAGAATCATGTCAGTCATCAGAGTTGTTCTAGGGAGTTTTCATCTTCAGAACATTACACCATTAAAACCAGAAAGTCCTTTATGTTGTGATGTGGATTTAATTCACTAATGTATTTTAATGATTGGTATACTGCTTGATTTACCAGACTTTCAGATTACAATATTATAACAAACTGAGAACCTACCAGAATAACATTGCTACTGCAATATCCATATACGTAGTTGTCAGCCATTAAAATCTGCCTCTCCAAAGGATATTTTTTACCATTCTTCTTGAGGGTGTAGGAGGCTTACTGATTTGCTGTTTGTGTAAAACTGAAGGTGGAACTGAAAACCACCAGTATTTTTATCTCTGCTGTATGCCAGACTCAAAATACTACACTTTATAAACCTAAAAATGATTGTGTTAATTTGATTGTAAACCATATTTTAGATTTTAACTTGGAGCACTGTGTTTTTGTTATGAAAACATACCAGTTACAATTGCTCTGTGCAATCACAAACTGAACCACCTTTGTCTTAAAGTTTGTAAGAGTTTGACTGTCAATAGAAGATCATGTTTGTGCATCATATTCCTTAGTTTATCATACAAAAATCTGCACATTTATTTTGAAAGATGGGAGCAACAGAGAATTGTTTTTAGTATTCTGTAATCCTTACCATTGTGTAGCTGTAAACAAGAAGAACAAAACTTCATCTCCAGGAGAAGTGATAATTTGGGGTGGGATTAAGATGAATGTATTAGCTTTTGGCTACATAGATATGTACATTTAGCTCTTTATCTTAAGTAGAACTTCTGAAATGATGGATCTAGGCCTCCAGGTGGCAACTTAGAGGCATGTGATAAATTAAAAAAAACAACTGATCAGCCTTGCACAGATTTTGGGAGCATTGCTGATCAGATGTGGGAGCATTGCTCAAGCCTCAGTTGTGAGACTTGGGCTATGATATGAGACTACAAAGTATGTAAGTTACATGCGTTAGATAAAATTTTAAATAAAGTATACCTTTCTTCCCCAAGTCTTAACGCTCTGAAATTATTAGTTTTCCTCATGAGGTATCACATTGTTTTTAAGGGTTCTGTAGAGTTGCAGCATTGTTTTTTTTCTCTAACTGAAAGATCAGGTTAGATAAAATCATGGAAAAAGTAGGAATCAACACTAACTTGATAGCATAATCAGTCAGTTTATTAAAATTCTGAATCTAATGCTGGGTATGAGAAACCTATACATTTCAAACCCTTGGACTAGTGAGAAATTGCTCATTGGAATGCTCTCTAAAACAGGGGCCCTCAACCCCCGCAAACTTCATTTGCACATGCTCTGCACATGTTCAGGATCTAGGTACGTGTGAAACCATCCCCCCTTACACACATACATACATACACACACACACACACACACCTGTGGAAGACAATTTTTCTTTTGAAATTGATCCCTGGTGCCAGAAAGTTTGCTTTAAAAGTTAGCTGGTTAAAAAAAGAGGGGTGGAGCTAAGGCTTCTGGGAGAGAAGGATCGAAATGTACAGCCTTTTCATTCTGTGTCCTCATCACTGCCAGTACTATATACTGTCCCTTTTTTCCAAAGTTACACTCCAATATTTTTTAAAAACAACCTTGTCAATTCGCCAGCATTTCCTGGGATTAAAAATTAGAAAGCAGCAAACTCTTCTGCAGAGAGTGTCCAGAAGATGCCTAAGACAAGATTGTAGAAGATGTTCAGTAGACTACATTGAATAATTTCATTGCTTTGCTTACAATAAAGAGTTGTTAATTATTTTCCTTTTCCTTTGAGTCTCGTTATAGCTAACCAGCTTCTAATGGCAGAAAAAGAAACTGAAAAGCTGAAAATGAAAATACTTCAGTAAAAAGTAAAATTAGCTTGAAGTACAGCATGCTAAATGTTTCAGAAATGTATTTGGTAGAATACATTATGTATAATGTAACAGGTAAGCCAGGTGAAATACAGAATACTCAGAACATTGAATAATTGAATCATTTGAACCATTCATCATGGTCTTCCAGTGGACCACATCCCTTTGAATTAAGGAACACAAAATAGAATCACCTCCGAACTTTTCCATCATTTGGTTAATGATCAGTTAGAGAATTGTAAGGCAGGCATGAATTCTCTTCCACTGAAAAAGACTAACATATTGCTGTTTTTTTCCTGAATTATAATTAAAGCAAAACTTCAAGGATGAAGAAAACCTTGTTACTAGAGCCTGTCATTTCCTTATATATGTTTGCCTATTCTGTGACCTCTCCTCTAAAGCAGCAATATATATACAAGAGGATCTGGGAAGAAACGACCAACTCTACCTTCATAGTTCAAGATAATATTTCTCATTGTGAACTGAATCAAAGCAACCCAACCTATGAGAAGCAAAAGGTAAGATCAGATTATGCACTGGGTGTGCTCTAGACAAAGCTAAGCAGTTAATGATTACATAATAGCAAATCATGTTGAATTCAACACGTTCAGAGAGATGTTTCACCTGGCAAAACATCTCTTCACCTAGCTGCAATTACTTAGATGGGAAGCCCCCAGCAAATCTGAGGGCTATAGAGTAGTCCAAAATAAAAGCAAAAGCACTATCTTCCTGGATGCAGACAATGCCACACAGATTCAATTCGCTAAGAAAATGTCTTAATCGGCATTGCAAAATAAAATACAGAAATTATTTTTGAGCAAAGAAAAATGTACAACCCTATCCTTAAAATTAACTATATTTGATTCAGACACAAATGGGTCCTTTTTCATCTCTCAACTAGCCTCCATTCAAAATTCTTTTTTTTAAAAGTTTTTTATTTATAATACAATTAAAACAAAAATGGACATACGTGGCATTCCAGAGTAAATATTCCTAACAATTTGTTTCTTGTGATACAAAAACTTAATACATCATCCTTAACCTCTATATAAACCTCATTCTTCTACATAATACAATTATATATACAATTATATGTACAATTATATGTATGTTTCAATCCTATCGTTAGCTTAAGATCCGAGCAGTTCTCCTTGATTCATACCAGCGATAAAATTTGTCCCAGATTTCGAAATATTCCAGTTCTGTCTTATCTTTCATAGCCATTGTAAGCCTGTCCATCTCTGCACATGATAAAATTTTATACAGGATTTCTTCTTCCGTTGGAATTCCCTTATTCCTCCAATTTTGAGCATAAACCAATCTGGAAGCCGTTAGAATGTGTA